CGATGAGTCAGCTCAATGAGCGCTGCAGTTGGCAAACTTTTCAGAAATCAACCTTGAGATGCAACCGCATCAACTCCTGACACTTTTTGGCGCTACCGGTCTGTGTGTCATATACTGGCCTTAATCGCGGTATAACGCTCAGCAGGTGGTATATTCGAGCGTGCAATGGCCTCAGCAGCCGATCCGCTCATAACCCCCCTTCCCCCCCCCCCTCCCGAACGTCAGGGTGATAGCTGTTAATACCCTGCGAATGGTTCATTGGCTAGCAGACTCTCGTATCAAACCGCATCTTGAGCCGGAATCTCAAATCTGTGGCCCAAAAACTCCGTTGGCAAAAACGGCCGTGCTGATTGGGGTCTGAATTGCAGCAATCCAGTGCGGTTTGTCGGCGGAATCGATTCTACCTGAGCGGAATGAGGTGGAGCTAGATTTGCTGGGTAAGTTCTGCTGCCACCAACGAAAACGTACGCGTGGCACGGAGGTAAAATCGGATTTGGGTCCATGGACTCCTTCGGGAAGAACGGCGCGTTTCGTGGTGCGTCACCGAACGTTATTTAGCACGTCTCGAAAGTCTCGAAAATAGCCCATGGCGAGCTAACGATGCCAGGTTTAAGGCCGGGTTATCGCCGATGAGCCTTGGATACTCTAAAAGAGCGAGTCTGGACCCGGCAGAAATGACTTATGCTTTTCCCCATGGGGCGGCAGATGAGACGAGGCGCGGGGCGGCCGACCTCGCACCAGTGCTGTGGTTTCCACTCTATCATACTGCATCTTCTATACATGATATAGGTTTAAAGATTGCTGTTCGTGAACTTTTAAAGCAGTAGGAATTAAAACGCTCTAGCATACTTGCGGAGTCGTTTGTGTCCGCAAGGGCGGGTGACGTTTGTGACAGGCCGGATGAATTGGGGTTGAGGGCGGTTGTTTCTATGTTTCTTTCGTGGCTGAATGCTGCTGGTGCCATTGATCGACAACAATCTTTGCAAGGTTTCCACTAGTGGCTTGCATCCCTGTGGAAGGACCCGGTTGGACGACCGTGTCGTGCCCACCGCGGAATGGAGGAGCTACGCGCTGTCGTGTACTACGGACACCAGTTCACCAGTGTGCCGAGCCGGCTAGCTCGCACACACCGGTCTGCGGGCCACGCAGGTTGTTGTCATGTCTTCGGACGGCTGTCTGGGGGCGGAACGGAGCGGCGTGGCGGCGCGCCGGCTGTTTGTCGCATTCCGGCCCAGCGGGGCGGGGCTGGCGGGTGACGCTCGCGACAGGTCCGGGTGGGGTGGGGCGGCGGTCGGACCGGCGCCCCTCGGTCGGGGTGACCTGGCGGCCGTGCCCTCTCGGGACGGATCCGAGAGGGGTAGGGCGACCGCTGACGACACGCTGCGGGCCGACCCGACCGGCCTGCGGTAATTGCACAGCCCGCGGGCTCTTTACCGATGGAGGAGGAGGGGAGCACACGGAGGGACGATGCACTCGCGGCAGGTGGGCGCGACTAATGAACCCGCGCCGCCTGCTGGTGTTTGTACCGCGAAGAACACCGGGAGAAACACGACCATGAGACGAACGGTCGAGCTGTGCGGCCACGCTACTGGAAGTGGGGCAGCCGTACCCAAGCGTGCAGTTTTCCGGAGAAATTGGCCTAGTCTTGTCCGATCGTTCACCGTCGACGCGTTCTTTGTCGTTCAGCGGCGACGCTGAGCACGGACGCCGCTGACGCCAGTTCCGCATTTCCCCGAAGCGCTGGGGCCCGCTGTGACCGGCTGTGGTCTGGGGCTGCCTGTTTCGCAACACCCGGCGCCCGTACGCGGGGGGCCGGCCGTCGCCGCCGTTTTCCAGCGCGTTGACGTCATCAGAGCGGTCGGACCAATCAGCGTCGGGCGCCGCCGGCTCTGCACCGCCGCGCCGGCGGCCGCAGTGCGACGCAGAAGACTCATCCCAGTCAGCAGGCGCGCGGGGAGATCCGACCCGAAATAGAGGCATGTGGTAATCGGGTTTCACGTGGGCCGTCGGCAGCCTACAAGGCACGAGCCGCTTGGCTGTAGGCGGTGAGCGAACGGGAAAGCACTCCGAGGACATCCTCAAAGCAGTGAGGAGTCGCGTTTCGCCGCTTCTGCCGCCTGTGTAGGGACTCGATGGCCCTCAGCCTCGCGCGGCCTGATATATGACGTAGCCGGTATCCTGGGCGGAAGCCGCGGAGTATCGATCGTCGCGTGCGCACTCTCACTCTGGATCGTCGCCGCGGTGCGCAGTAGCGGCCTAATCTGGCGTCCATCGCCGGTCCGTCTGCCGCCCTGCCGGTGCGCGGCCGTTTTAACCCCGCCTTAAAAATGGCAATGCCTCGGCGCGACCTTCCTCGTCTCCGTCGAGCTCGCGGACATTTGTTCTCCAGTTAATGGCGGCCGGAGACGGCGGATTAATGAACGACCCTGCCCTCGCCAGCCAAGTGTCGCCGGTGCCAGCACCTTTGGCCCCTCGGATGGCGGTCCGCCGCGGAGCCGTGGGGTCGTAACCGCCCGTGATTCACGTCCGCTGGCGGCCGTGCTGTTCACCTACGTATGCGCCGGCGGCTGTGCGTCGTTTACCACGCCGTGGCGTGTGGTCTACTTCCCTGCCGCGTGCAGACATCCCGAGTCCTCACGGCAAAGCGACCGTCCGGCGCCGGCTGCTGCGTGTGTGCGCAGTCTTCCAGCCGACGTGACCTTTGACCATCGCGCAAACAAGGTCGTTGCAGCGTCGTGCGCTCTGTCTGGGCGGCCTGCCCAGTCATTTTCGGACCTCCGGCGCCTGTTACGGCGCACCGGCCTCGCCGCAAACAAGGCTGCTGCCGCCTGGCTGGCCGGGCCTAATCAGGCCTGAGGCAGTGCACAGTCTTCGCTTACGCTCGGGCAGGAATTTCGAAGTGTATTTATTTCCTATGTGTAGGTGCAGCGAGTTCAAGAAGGTGGCGTAATGGTTAGCGTTTTAAAACTACGACTGCATTTTCTGTGGACATCATGATGTATTAATTTTGGCTTTGGTTTCTGATGATTAGGGACGTATGTTATTCTCTTGAGGTCGAATTTGAAGCTCAGTGTTTCTGTCAAATTTGACCTTAAAATTGTTGCATACCCAAGGAGGATGCGGCGCAAAATGGCTACGCAGGTCGGCGCGCCTCCAAATACAAAACACCATGACATCCAAGAATGGCGTCGGACGTTTGCGGCCGGGTGAAGGATGCGATAGGATCGCCACCTATGACATCCCATCTGGCCCGACTTGCCAGTTCTTACCGCCGCCGGGAATGGCCGGTGCGCTGGGCTGGCCGCGTTGTGGGGCAGGAGGCCGGGCGCTCCGCGCGGTTCCGGCCCACGTTCCCGGGAGGGGCCTGCCGGTTCCTGACCGCGCGATGACCTGACCACGCCCATCATCTGACCGCGCCGGCGACCTGACCGCGCTGATGACCTGACCGCGCTGATGACCTGACCGCGTCGGTGACATGATCTCGCTCGAGGCTCCCGTCAGCCTCCATCCCAACCGGCCGGAACGGCGCCACAGCGGTCGGAACGCGAGATCGAAGCGGGTTTTGAATCGAAACGGCTGTACGTTTGTGAGCGAGGTTTTTTATCGGCCGCTGTCTCGTACGCAGACCAGCCACAGGGGTCCGGCCGCGAAGCGTCCGGTCGTGTGTCGGTCCGCTTCCGTTGGTCATCCCGTGTCTGCGGCGGCGGCGGCGGCGCGGAGCTGCCGCTGCGCTGCCGTGCAGCGGGAGCCGGGCCGCGATCGATCCGGCTCGCCAGCTGTTGACGTGCTTCCGGCGTGCCTGGATGGAGCGGGCGCTGCTGGCGCTGGCGCCGGCCTGGCGGACTCGGCCGCGGCACACTAACGCGAGGAGTCCCAAATTTCAAAGAGAATGGTTGTGGACGCGGGGGTGGAGGTTATGGCAATGAGTGGTCGCCCCGAAGGAATCGTCACGTCACGGCTGGAAAGGTGGTCATCGAGGCTCTTTTATGTCTCCGGCTACTTTCGCATGACGTCAGTGATACAAAAACGACAGGCACTTGCAATCGTCCCTACGATGTACAGTTCTGCCCATGGTTGCGGAATTGCAACACTGCAGCTTTGAGGTTGAGCTTGGGGTCAGTTCCCGGATGTTTGGGGAGTTCCAGCTTTCCTCGCGTGAGTCGTGCTCCAGCCTTGGCATTGGGCGCACCCCGCTCTCGCCCATTCGTTCACAGAGAGTGCGGCTGTCACGGCATGATAAGCCAGGGGTGGCTGGAGAGGCTCGCCCTTTCCGGAGATAAAGCAATGTGTTCGCTCCCAAGCATTGCTGAGCATGAACAATGTCACTTTCCGTACACCCCTCAACTAGAACCAGCCGTTTTCAGCTGTGAAAGGGGCGTTCCACATTTGAATGTGGTTCTGAACGGAAACAGCCATCTTGAAGATCATTTGGTGCACATCACAGCCCTTCCCTTCTTAAGACCTAAACCCCTCCAGTTTCTGAACTACACGCCCGTGAAGGTGTGCAGGCTATTTCAACGTCATCCAGGCATCCATGGCGTTTTGATGACGTTAATTAAATCCTGTCATTCCTTTGATCATGCGGTGATCAAGGCCAAGTAAAGATACGATTGCCGAGTTGTTCATATGTGGCGTTCATGAGCACGATTTCCAGATATAACGGCCGTCAATTGGCTCTCAATCAATGTTGTGTACGGTACGGTGACTTTATCAAGTACTGACGTATTGAGGAGCAGGTCAACTTACAGAGAAATTGTGTTGTCGTGAGCAGTGTTTTCTGTTTAAAACTATAACACTAGTTAAAAGTGCATATCTTCAAATGTGTAACATTCCGTTTAATGACATTGCCCCGGCAGTGGTGTGATGATTGTAGTGCGTGCGAGCCTGCCAACCGACACAAGTTCCCCCCCCCCAAAAAAAAAAATCAGCAAACCGCTGCCCCCCCCCCTCCGCCGCGCTTGTGCCGCAAACTGCCCTAACGCGTGGCTGTACGCCGGCAGCAGCCGACTGGACGGCATCGAGCGGTGAGGAGCCGGCGCCGGCCGCGCCGCCCGCCACGCCCGCGCTGCGCCGGCTGCACAAGCGCAACGAGCGCGGCGAGACCCGCCTGCACGTGGCCGCCATCCGCGGCGACCGCCGCCTGGTGCGCCGGCTGCTCCGCGACGGTGCCGACGTGAACGCCACCGACTTCGCTGGTGAGTGGGGGCCGAGGACGAGGGGGGGGGGACCAGGTCCCGGGCTAGCGTGTTGTATGGGGGGGGGGGGGGAGGAGGCGATAGGAATGAGTCGGGACGTGTCCGCGGACGTTTGCGCTGTTGGACGAAGCGGACGAGGGTGAGGGGTGGTGGCTGAAGCGGGGTTGAATGGCGCGGACCTCAAGGGCGAGGGGGCGGGGAGCGCCTGGGCTGCAGAGCCCACGCTGCGCTTCAGTGGGTCCTGATGACGGTACGGGCTGCAGGGGAGTGCGGGTTTGTGGCCTTTGTTTGTGTGCCCTGAGCGCACGCTGGGATGGCCGGACGTGCAGAGCAGATGCTGCCAGATCAAGTTGTGAATGGCGCAATTGTGTTGATGCAATGGTGGGCGTGGGCGTCGACCGTCAGGGAGGTCGCTTCAGCCACAGGGCGGTCACGCCACGGACATGGTTGCTCCTGCGGTGCGGCGATCGTAAGGCGTGGCGCTCGACGCTTTGGTCGGCCCGATGGCTCAGTGATGCTGCTGGGCCCCGTCGTCTAGAGGTCATGTCACGCCCAGGGTGCGCATGTCACTGCTCCGCCCTCAAAATTAAAAGAAGGAAAGCAGTGCGCGTCCGTTCAGAGCCGTAGTGACGACTGACTACCTACAGCTACATTTCGCTCTCTCATAGTAAACAAACTTTTATAGAAACACCCTGAAAATTCAACCCTTTCAGTGTTGGTCGAACGCTGCTCCCGCGCGCTCTGCCTTGAATAAGAACTGCGTGTGTATAGCTACCGTGGCTACCACGCACCAGTCAGCAGGCCACACCCGGGGGCCGAACTGACGTCACCATCGCAGCGCCGGTGAGAGCCCCCCCCCCCCCCCCCCCAACGCCGACGGGTGGAAAGTGGGAGCACATCTGGCGAGCGTGGGGTGCGACAGCGAAACGGCCTGGCTGACGTCTCGGGGCGGCGGCAGCGGCCGGGCGGCCGGTCCGGGCAGTGGACCAACGGGCCGTGTCTGGGCGCTGGACCAGCCGACCAACTGCCGCCCGCCACGTGGACCGCGTTGAGTCACACCAGAGTTGAGTCTGCTGACTGAATGTTGTGGCGCCCGCCGGTCGATGGGAGCTGAAGGTGACTCGGCGAGGGTGGCCGCAAAAATCGGGAGCTCTGCCCGCTGAAATGCGCCGCGGTCACGAATCCGGACTAGACAATTCATTCAGCGGGTGCGATTCACGGGAAAGACATGATAGGCTGAACTCCCTCGTTGCGTCGTATTTGTCGGCAGCGGCGTTTTGCAGCTGCGATGAATGGGTGCTTTAAATAAACAAGATAGCAGGTGCATAGTTAAAAAATTGCCGGCACGGAGGTAATCAAACGTAGCTCATATCGCGGATGTAATCGCTGCGGTGGAATATCATCGTCATTCCGTCTTGCACGAAGCAGAGGATTACTTGAATAGCTAGTCACGTTTGCCTGACGTTGCCTGGCTTCATGGAACGCCGTACTGGTTACACCAAGGTAGACCATTGTTGCTTTGCGTCATTTCTGCACCACGTTCGTGCGCGTCCCCCGCCCCCCGTCCCCCGCCCCCCGGCCGGCGCGCGCGCGGCCGATATCGGGCGGCCCAGGCCGGGCCGGGTCGGCGTCCTTCGCCGACAGCGGCGTTGGCAGCGCGCCAGGCCTCATGACGGACGACCGGGCGAGCCCGCCCCACCCCTCCCCACGCCACTGCTCGGGGCTCCCGCCGGGTAGGCCACCGAGCTGGGAACGCGGCCACCGGCCGGCGCCGCGCTGCCGCTGGGCTGGTGTTGATGCCTTGTGCGCAGGGAGCGTGGGTGGCTTACTGCTGTGCATTTCATTGTTACTTTAATGAGATGGGCCTACACCCCAGGGACGTATGCACGATTTGCCGTTGGAGCATAGACTCCAGTTTGTCATGAAATAGGCACGTTTTGACGCCACAGACGCGAAATTTCGTGGTAGCAAATAACATTAATGTTTAAATATGTCGTTTTGACAACGGGACGTCTTGTGTGCTGTTATTCACAGTTTTAATCATGTGTGAACATTTGTAAAGAGGGGCACGATATCACTCTCGTGCCGCGCTATCATCCTCCCTGAAAACACTGGTCTCCCCTGCTCTCTGAAGAAAGTGAAAAATCTTATTTGTGTAAAACGGGACAAAAGGTGTGATTTCCAAATAAAAGCTAAGCAAATGTGGGACAGCGTCATAATTGTCACTGTCTTCCTTTCACGGCATCATAGGATGAGTCTCTAGACAAAGGTTAGGTTTTGTTATGTTGCATGTGTAGTGCAGGAGTACACAGAAAGCGCAGTACAACGGCAGCACAGCACAAATTTTCACGTGATTAATACTGGTGGACGTGTGAATAAGAGTACACGATTAGGACTAGGGGTAAACGTATCAAACGAGACACATTGAAGACATTCATGTTAATATTGTCCCCACAAAAGCATAACGGAGAGTCATGGCAGCGCTGGAGACGCATGCGATGAACCCAATCTTTGTATCTAATTATGAAATCATTCACATCTTCCAGCCATCCAGGAACTCGGGCACTGTCCCCACCCGACAGCCACGATCTGACGGCTGATGCCGAGTTGATAGACAGCGGGGTTTGCTTTCGCTGACGGTCAGGTAGTCGTCATATTTTGGATCTGCGCTCACCTGTCATGATATTGCGGTGCCGTACCATACAAAAGCATTGTTATGCATGTAACCCACTTTCAAAAAGCTGGACTCTTTCCTTATTACGTGTCATATGCTGGCGGAGAAGCCTTGGTCGTCGAGGATAGGGGCTTTTTGTCTCGGATCTCCTGAATGGCCACATTTCTGCTTCTGCTGTTGTACTGCAAGTTCTGTATTTAACTACGTCCACTGTTCCGCAACTGTTAGCAAACCAACGCCTGCTTTGTCCTGCATCACACCAGCGTGATGTGTCGCTACTAACGTGGCGCTAATATAGCACCCGGGCGCAGCGCCCTGCGCTGAATGGCCAGTTGTCACACGCACCCCGCGTATCCATGGCGACGACGAACACAAACTACGCATTTAGCTTCACGCTGGACGTCGGCGACCATGGAGCGCCGTTTCTGCCGCGTCATGGGACGATCGGTGGACAGTTAAGTGGGCGACTGCACTCACCATGCACATGGTACTGCGTGCGTCCAGTCGGGACTTGGGTTTTCGGGTTCGAGACCAGTATGGCACGAGACTAGTTACGCCGTGTCCGCGAAGCCGAGTTTTGTGACCTAGACAAGATCCCAGTCGGGGGGAAAATGGACGCTTTTGCAGCGCTCGATTCGCGCATTCTCACGTCCCCAGGGGTGTCCAGTTCTGCAGCCGTCCGGGTGCCAGCTGCACGGGCTCCGGCGTTCCACTCCAAGCTGTGCAGCTTTGGTCGTCCCCAGCCGTACAGCCGGGGTCGTCCCCAGCTGTACATCCTCGGTCGCCCCCAGCCGCACAGCCCGGGTCGTCCCCAGCCGTATATCCGCGGTTGTCCCGTTCGTCCCCAGCTGTAAAGTGGCCCGCATCCCCAGCCTCACATCCGCGGTCGTCCTCAGCCGTACAGTGGCGTACGTCCCCAGCTGTACATCCGCGGTCGTCCCCAGCCATACAGTGGCGTACGTCGTCAGCTGTACATCCGCGGTCGTCCCCAGCCGTCCCCAGCCGTCCAGCGGCGGCCGGCCTCTGCAGCCTCAGCTGCCTGATCGATACGCTGCCCAACCCGGCGCCGCCGCCGTGCCGGCCGACGACCCGACCGACCTGCCTCAGGGGCGGATCGAGGGTGAACTGGCGGGGGGGGGGGGGGGTCACCGGACCCGCGCCGGGCGTGGTGCGAGTTGAGCGGGGGTCGAGGGCGGTAACCTGACGTGTATCATGGGCGGATCCAGAAGTCGTGTTGTGGCGGGAGCGGAGCATAAGCCAGCCGGCGGCGGCGGCGGGTCCTGAGCTGAGCGGTGAGGGAGGCCAGAAGCGTGACCTGCGACTGTGGCGGGCCCAGCTTGAGCGACTGAGGAAGCTGACAACTTGACTCATATCAGGGGTGGACGTAGGAGTTGCCGGATTGGTATGCGACCCCTCCCCCCTCTCCCCTCCCTCAAATGCGTTTACACGTGGCAGCCGGCCCCCGCTTTTCCAGTGTGACCCGTGGCCCCCGCTTGACCCCGTGACTCAACGTGGCCACGTGATCTCCGGACCGGCGGCTGGCGCAAAAACATGTCGCCGCGAAGACGGCGGTTTTTGCCTAGCCCGACCCCAAGCCCGAGCCCGAGCCCGAGCCCGAGCCCGAGCCAAGTCTCAGCCCGAGTCCGAGTCCCAGCCCGAGCCCGAACCCGAACCCGAACCCGAACCCGAACCCGAGCCGGGCCGGGCCGGGCGTGGCGGGAGCTGCCGCCGCCACACCGGATCGGGGACGGCGCTATCGAGCCGGCTGCGCCACAAATACCGCAGCGGCGCCGTCGCTCCCGGACGGGCTCGGGCTGGGGCTGCAGCCGGGCGGGGCCGGCTGGACACCGCGGTGGTGGCCGTTCGGCCCGGCGCCGCCCCGCGGACCGGCAGCTCGGGTTGCTGTGGCGCCTTGGGCACGAAGAGGTGGGATCCATGGACGAAGCCGCTCGGCTACTTCCGATGGACGCTAGACAGTCGAGCCCGCTTCCACTCGTCGGCCTGATCTGCCGGCGTTTTCTGTCAGTTTGGACTGGCTGGTGTGCCGGGGCGCGTGGCGAGCCTGCTGGCGGTGCTGGAGGCCCCTGGCGCGCTATGAGTGTGGACTTCGTCCACGTTGGGTTGCTGAGTGTCCAGCGCGGGTGGGGCCTTGTCTTTGGACCTCATCGACATTGGCGTACAGGCGCGTCAGGGACGGTGGCGAATGATGTCCGATTTGTTGTCACTAGTTGGGCGCGCCAGGGGCTGAACACCATGATTTCGACCGGATGCGAGGAAGGCATCGGCGGCAACCTAATGCCATAGGAAGAATCGGGATTTCCTCGCG